AAAACTGACCTACCCGCCTACATCTGTCTTACGTAAAAAAAAATAAAAAGGATGCTAGATACGTGATTTCACTTTTATCTTACTGAAGTTTCTTTTTCTTTTTTTTTTCTTTTTTTCTATCCTATCGATTTTATACCAGAATAATAGAAAAAACAAATGTTTCTACGAAGAAGATCAAATTCCATCTGGAAAACATGTCTTTTTTCTTTTGTATCTTTCCGCTTTCCCCAACCCTTGGGTCTACTTACGATTGAAAGTAAGAATGAACCTTGTACAACATGTCATAGAAGAAATAGAAAAAGAATTTGATTTATCTCTTTTATTTATATATTCCTCGTCCTGGTATTACTCACATTTTTCGGAACTAAACGTTGAATTATCGGATACGGTTTTCTATTCACTTTTTCATTTTCGTTTACTTTAGATATTTTTTTTTCATTTTATAAGATAAAATAAAAAAAAAGAAAAGAGAAATCCTTTTGTACTCGTAAATCTAAGGAATTTATGGTACGTGACCATACTTCCTGTAAACTTTACAAAATTATTAGAATCATTTTTCTTTGATCACGTTTATTTGTACATTCATAAAATAAATTTATTCAATGCTACAATTGCATGTGAAACGTGTAATAAATTGTTTTCATAAAAAAAACAAACATATGGAACTGTCCACGTGAAAATTTAGAAAAAAAAATTTTACCACGAATTGTACCAGAAATAAAAAAAAAATAAAAAGAAGAAACATCAAAAGAAAAACAAAAATTATTATTGAAATCTATAATTTCATTTGCACCAAAATGAAAATGAAAATGAATAAAACTCATGATTATTAAAAATTGTTACCCTTATATAAAATTTAATATTTAGATAATTGTAAAAATCCAAATCATACCAGGAATAAAAAAAAGAAAACAAAAATTATGGAAACCTATAATTTCATCTGCACCAAAATGAAAATGAAAATGAATGAAATTCGTGATTATTATTCGATGATTTTGGGGGAATAAATTTAGAGAAGAAAATTAGTAAGCAATCATGAAGAAATAAAGGATGAATATCCATTGATCAAAGAAACTAGTATTGAACGAAACATATAATTTGATAGAAATAATACTCGGAAGGAAAGGTGTGTTCGAAAAAAATGTTCGATTTTCTCTATCCATAGATACATACATCTCTCATATTCTCTCTCTCTTTCTCTCTCTCTTTTATTCTTTTCTCTCTCAGATCAAAGTACGAGCTTCTTATAGGCAAGAGTTTCACGAAAAACAGGTTCCAAAAGAATGTCGACCGAAAGTAAGTGACTATTAACGTTGGAACAGGCGTATATAAAAATTTATCATCCCTGGTTTAATGGCCGCCAATGGAAAGAAACGAAAATTTACTTCCACTTATTCTTTTCTTTCGATAATAAAAAGAAAATACAAAAAACAAAACATACCAACAAAAATGAAACAAAAACTCCCAGTTACAATAAATAAAAAAAAAAAAAAAACAAGTTAAGTTCCACCTCGTTTAAAAAAAAAAAAACCAAATCCAGTTGAATATTTTTGGACATTCTTTTACTGCTAATCCTTGCGATAGGGAATATATTATTTAATAAAATAACAAGAAACAAAATATTCTACGTAGGTGGACAAGCGTAATGCGTAGGAAGTTGTAGAAGCATCGAAATGGTGCAAGGATTGGTAGGTATAGAGGATATTTCAATGGGGCCTCACAATGGGGTTGTAATCCTTCGTAGAAGTTAACCGCAACTTCGTTGGCCTGTTACTGCTATTTCATCCATTCTGTACATGAATAGAAAGAAAGAGAGAAAGAGAGAGGAAAAGGAAGTAATAATTCAAGAAATGGTTCTAAAATAAAATAAAATTATTCAAACTTTTCTAACATAACCTCAATTTTGTTGGTTAATTCTTCGCACGAATGATATTGCAATGAATAATTTTCAAATTCAATCTATCGTATTTTGTTCTATTATCATCCTTTATCTCTCTCTCTCTCTCTTTCTCTCTCTCTCTCTCTCTCTCTCTTCTTCTTTTTCTCTTTTTTCGGTTTATTACTCTGACCTACATGCGACAAAATTTAGCGCATGAATTGACAGATCGCTTTTGTGTCAATTATTTACACGTCGATTGAAATACATTATATCAAAGTTATTAATATTTAACGTGTATTCTCTATCTTTCTTTCTCTCTCTCTCTCTCTCTTTCCTGTTTATAATACTTTTATGATGCATAAAAAAATATGCACTCCCAAGTGCAACACTTTGGTACAATATTTTATGTTTAAATATAAAAATGCTCGTATATGTAAACGTTTCAGATAATATTACTTGCTTTTTTTCTAAATAAATAAATTAATCATTCTTTTGAATAATTATATCGAAATATTAAATGAAGTCATGTACAAATTGGATATGAAATGAACTTTTATAGGTTATAATGAATATTATAACCAATAATAATATTTTATAAATACACACAATATATTTTATATTTTATATAATATATTTTATATATATATATATATAGGTTATAATATTCATTGTAACCTATAAAAATATGAATTATACCAAATCAAATAAAATATATATCTATATATATATATATATATATATA